TCAGCAGGAGGAATTAGGCAAGAAATCGCTGGCAGAAATCCTGGCATTTGTAGAAATGGCCTGATGTCAGTTATGCTGCCATGGGGGTTGGGATGGTCAGTCAGTGTCTGCCTAATTGCTTTTGCATTCCTTTCTGTGCTTCTAGAGAAACGCTTATCTATAATGATATGCAGGTGGGAGTATGGTGCCGATGTTTTCCAAGGCGCCGTGAGAAAAAGCTACTTCCCAGCTTCAGCTAACAGCTGGCAAGTAGTATCCTGCGTGCGGGAGGGTGACTAATTGGCCACTGCAGAGGGGGGTGCATACGAATACCCTATATCCTATTAGGCTCAATGGGCAACCACCATTCTTAACAGTGCTTCTGTTAACGCATCTATGGCTCTTCAATAAAGTATTACCTTTCCAGAAAAGAGTGTACTACGTTGTTGGCTGTGGGTTCTGACACCTGATGGCGCCAAGCTGGCCTTTTGTCTCTGTTGAATCTGACTACATTATGAACTCCAGCAGTTAGAGCCCACATACCCAAACAAGACAAGTAGCTAGGTCCAAAAACTACTGGGCACAAATCACCAGCATTCTTTAATGAAGTGTATCTCCCTACCATCAGTGCCCATTAGTAAGTCATTAAGCTATACTCCTTCACTGAACATAAAACAAGAGTATTCCCCCAACACTGGGTTAAGATACTGCCTCCTTAAGGAATTACGGGGCTACTGTTTATGATGGGCTGGATTCAAAGACTGGACCCGACTAACAGTGGAGCCTTCCACTGACAAAAGGAGACTTCCACTGGTGAAAAGAGTCTTGCTCCAGCAAAAAGGCATGTTCCACCAGAGTCAGTCTTCATGGCAGGCGCCACCATTAGTGAAACAGATCCTTTGGCTCCAACCTATTATTATTATTATTATTATTATTATTATTATTATTAGTATTATTATTATTATTATTATTATTATTATTATTATTATTATAAAAAAGTGCAACAACGGGAAAGGGAACTCAGAGCATCAAAGGGGGGAGGGGAAAGGAAGGGTGCCAACCAATTGGTCACCATTGCTGCCCTCAACCAAAAGCCTGGCAGAACATCTCTGTGTTACAGGCCCTGATGTCATATGGCAGAGAGTTCCACCAGGTTGGGGCCAGGACCGCCGGACATCCCTGGGGCCAGGGATCACCAGCAAGTTGTTATTTGAAGAGCGTAAAGCTCTTCTTGGGACATACCTTTATGCTCTCTTAATATGCTGAAATTCTTTCCAAAACACCCTGCAAAGGCAGAGAGGAAAAGGTTAGCATCCAACATTTAAGAGTTAAGTCCAATTAAGTCAATGGATGAATGTGTTGTATTGTGGTCAATGAATAAATATGGATTACAACATACACAGTTAGTTATGAATTTGTGCATTGTGTGAATGGCAAGATAGAAAAGAATAAATGATTTATATGTGACTATTGTTTTGAGCTTAAATTGGATTTTTTTAAAACCTTTATGGGGGAAAACCCTGAGCGAGAGATTCCAGCTGTGTTCTTTGTGATGTATGCTAGATCTTCAATACGCAGAGTTATTTAATTGTAAAAGTACTCCAGATCATTCTGTGCACTACAATCTAACCTTTCCAAACATTTGGTACCATAGAAGTTGCAACCAAAATGCTAACAAGTGGCTTGTACTTGGTTTTTTTGAGCTATAACGTTATCTATAGAATATATAGAAATACCACATTTAAGACAACAAAGCAATTGTGACGGGGCAGGCCAGAGAGAAAACCCTCTTAAGTGAGGCCAGAAGGTGTGCCTCATGAGGCAAGCCCTGAGGTGTGTCTGGAAGTGAAAGCATGCACAAACAGCTCTGAGAATCCTGGTCATGAAACGAAAAGAAAGGCAAGGCAAGCCCCAAGTGAGGACTAACAACCCTGGAGACAGGCCAAGCCAGCAGCAGCTGGGAGTAAGTGGGGCAGCAGGCCAGCCAACCTCACCTGCTCCTTAAGGCTAGGCTTAAAAGCAGCAGCCAGATGCTAGGGGGAGGCTCATGGAGTAGCCATGGAGGAACAGACAGGGCTCTCTAAATCCTTGTGTAGCTGGCTATGGGTTACAGCACTACAAGCTGTCTGGGAGACGGCCAATCCTGCACTGTAATATACCTTGTCTTTACTGGAATGTTACGGTGAGAGAATTTGATTACGATGTGACCAGATAATTTTGAAACTAAGAAAAGATTAAATGCTGTGTGTGTGTGTGGGGGGGGTGCATTTAAACATAACTATTAAAGTTTACTAAGTGTGTATGATATTATATTGTAATTCAATAATCTGTTAAGGATTCCTCAATTTGTGTAATTTAAATAAGATAAATAACAGTTCATATCCAGCAGCAGTGTAATACAGACTTCAACTTATTTGCATCTAGGGAGAAAACACACTGTGTTTCCTCAATGGAAGAAATAGCTCCTTGGGGGCATTTCACATTGGAAAAATGGTGCTGGGGGAAAGTTTTAAGCTGCTTCCTCCCCCCATGCTATGGTCCTGATCTGAGTTGGGCCTTTGGACATCTGGGAAGTGCAGAACTTGGCGTGGGAACTATTTTAGGAATTCTCCATATGTTTTGGCTCTAGTGATGTTATTCTGGCTGCCTTTCTAGGAATACTGCACTGCTGAAACCAATAAAGGAAAGTGAGAGGAGCACCCTGCAATTGTAGCATTGTTGGAACATCTCTTTCAAGCAATAGCCTTTGCTTCCTTTAACTCCACGTTGCTGCGAGTTGGCTGGGTTTATTCCATATTGGACAGTGTAAGAAAAGGTAAGGCTCTTTTTATATGCTCTTATTTTGTGCTAACTGACCCATCTTAAAATGAAACTACAGACACTGCAGGGGTTTTTGTGAACAATACATCACCTCTGCACCCCAACCTGGATGGCCCAGGCTAGCCTGATCTTGTCAGATCTCATAAGCTAAGTAGGGTTGGCCCCTGTTAGTACATAGATTGGAGACCACCAAGGAAGTCCAGGGTTGTTATGCAAAGGCAGGCAAGTGCAACCCACCTCCGTTCATCTCTTGCCTTGAAACCCCAACAGGGTCACCATAAGCCAGCTGCTACTTGATGACACTTTCCACCACCACACATCTCCTCTGCAGTTATCATTTCTAGCTAGGAAAACCAATAGCATTCAGGCAGAAGAAGACAAGGCTTTTTATTGTTATTTAGAATGCGAAAATTAAAGGGGAGGAGACCTGTACTTCTTTGTTGCCTCTGGACACCCTGACTGCAGGAGGTGAATGTCAAAGGCTAACTCTGAAGGCCATTTTGTCATGAAGGAATTTGGGGACAAACCCCATCAGGGTAAATTCTGACATATGGTTAGTTAACAAAAGGACTGGTTCAGTAGTACCACATTGTCTGACAGCCGTGAAAGGGATGGACAGGGGTGGTCTTAGCCAGTGGGCAACAGAGGCAGCTTGGGGGGGTGATCAGTCATGGCCCTTCACCCCGAAGGAAAGAGAAGAGCAGCTCCTGCTGCTGCTTCCACCTGCCCCCTCTTGAGCTTTATTTATTCATTTATTCTATATTTATTTATTTATTCTATTTATTTATTCAATCCCCCCCCCGCTCCTTTCCCCACCAAGCACGGCTCAGGGCAGCTTCAGCATCTGGCTTCAGGCCGCATGAGTGGCTCCTTCCTATGTTGCACAGGATGAGGCCCGCCCCTTGCTTGGCTCCAGTGGGGGGGGGGCAGTTATTTGGGGTCTCAATCTGGAGGTTTGCCCAAGGCCTTAGAATCCCTAAGAGTGTCACAGAGCTTTGCTTGCTACTACAACTACTACCTCAGCTGCTGCTGCTATTGTTTTCTGTACTGAAGGAATACAAAAGCAAAACAGCATAATGGGCAGACCAATTAACAATAACAATAAAGAACAAGATAAAAGAAGAATTATATCACGGGCTGTCACACCAATGAAGCAGGGAGGGCAGCATGAGCTTGTGAACTTTTCTGTGTGTACATGTGCCTATCGGGGGGGGGGTGCAGGGAATGTGGAACTGGGGGCCAGGCTCTCCTCCCATCTAACAGGGCACAAGGTGGATGGGCAGAGCAATGCCAGTCATACACAATGCCCTATTAGCTTTTAGTGTTTTAAATGACATACGGTCCCATTCTGCTTCCAATTATTTTTATTTTTCTTCACTATGAATCATTGAGCCATGTGGCCAGGTCCTCTTAAATTCCTTTCAATACTAATTCTTTTTCAACAAGCCTTTAAAGATAAGTCACACAAAATCCCCTGTAAGCCTAATAATATAAATACAAAGCTATCCTTGATAGCTAACACAAGCAGAATATTCTAACTGCATCCTGATGATCTTACTACATAGATTCTCATTTAGTCAGTGGCTTAGTATCAGGAGGCCTCCCTCTATTGATCTTGCCATCTGTAATGAATAAACCTGAAATATTATATATAGCCATTCCTTCCATCTATATACAACCATGCCAAGGTTAATCCTTGTTTGAACTGAGCCTCAGGCAATAAACCCCCGTTAAAGTTCTAAATCTCATTTTGTGTTGCATCCTAAAATTACATCCCCTGCCTCCGAACGAAATTTATACAGTCATTAGTAATACAGCTCTAGGCAGAGCTGACTTCAATGGAGCAGGCCCTTCTTCCTAGGACTCTCCTGATGCAGTCAATATAAACTCTATACCTTGAGTTTCAGTTGGATAACAGAACTCCAAATTCATTGTATCAACTTCTACAATCTCCGCTGATGCCCTTCCAGCTCTGACTGCATTCCTCTCTCAGACCTCCTCTTCCTCTTTTTCCTTTCTTACGGTCTCCTTTCCCTCAGTCCCCTCAGGAAAAAGACTGCTGTTTCATAGGTCAGAGGCAGGGGTTGTTGGGAGGTGTAGTCCGTGAGATGTAAATTTATAATTCTGTAGTCTTAGAATTCCCATTACAATAGTCCGGAGTCTGGGGAGAGCAAGGTTTGGTGAGGGGAGAGGCCTCAGCTGGACATAATGCCATGCAATTCAACCTCCAAAGCAGCCATGTTCTCCGGGCGGGGGGGGGGGCGGCAGATCTCTGTTTTCCGGAGGAGATCAGTTGCAATTCTGGGAGATTTTCAGGTTCCTCCTGAAGGTTGATAACCCTAACCAAAAGAGAGAAGATAGTTTTGTGGGTTCCGACACAGCAGAAAGACTGAGTGTTGACTACCAATCCACCTACCCTTACTGTTCTTCATTACACCGGGGGAGTAAAGAATTTTTCACCCTCTACTTAGGGATGCATGGTACAAATGCTTTGATGGATATTTGCAAAGACCAGGAAAATGTCTAGAGAGACATTTTTTACCCACTAATACAGCCGTGAAAGCTTCAAGCTAAAGACCTCCTTTCTTTAGGTAATTTTACTACATGTGACTGATAGAAATTCTTTCTTTTTTTTCCCCCCCCACCACTAGAATGGAATATAAGAACCTTCTCTTTGGCATCCTTCTTTGCTGCACTTTGCTTACAGCTAGCTGTTCTTACATGATATTTGAGGAAAAGCGGAACACAGAAACTAGTGTGGTGAACAACAAAATGAAGTTCCCAGACCTCCCACCTGTCTCTATAGTAGGTCAGTAAAATCTGCTTTTTGGTAGATTAAAGAGGATGTTATGGCTTCTATTAAAAGCAGCAGTCCCATACTTCTCTCTCTTGGTACTGAGAAATAAAAACAAGCAACATAATGTCCTCAAGTTCTGAATATTCTGATCACTACAACTGGTAACCGAAAAGGTACACTTTCACTCACAAAATCATTCCTTCTGTGGAGGGAGGGACAGTCCATGATTTGGAACTAATCTTGGTCTGACCAGAAATAATGTTTTTATACTGCTTAATATCATAAAGTATTTGATGGTCTTTCCCAGTAAAAATACAAAACTAGGAGTATTTCTACCATTCACATCTATATAAAAACATTAAGCCTTTAAAAGGGGCTATATTATTTATTATTTAAAAGGGACGACGACAGTGTCATAGATGCAACGAACATGAAATTGAGCAAACATCAGAGGACGGCGGAAGACAGGAAGGCCTGGCGTGATCTGGTCCATGGGGTCGCGAAAAGTCAGACTTGACTGTGCGACTGAGCAACAACAAAATATTATTGAGGCCCACTTACAGTGACTATGGGCCTCAATATATATTTGCTTTTTTAGGAGTTGGGTCCAGGTTCCCCACAGTCAGCTCAGGTCATTTGCAGCCAGACAGCAACTGCATGAAATACTATGAAAGGGGGGGGGGACCCATTTGGGCTGTGAACACTCTCGTGGGGGTAGGAAGAGCAGTGGTGGGAGGGTTATTTCCCTGTTTTTGCTGCTTCACATGGAGTATTCTGTGTACATGGAGCAGCAAAAACAGGGAAATAACTCCCCCCAGCCACTCTGCATATGCAGCCTGCAAGCCAGAATTGGCCAGTCCAGGGCTCTTATCCAGGCCACAAGCAACTGGTATGAGGGAGGGAACAGGAGTCTGCTCAGTGGGGTGAGCGGTTGGAGTCACTCTAATCATAACTTCAGTACAGCAGAACAACCTTGTCAGCAGCAATCAAGCAGAACCGCTTCACTTCAGGGGCTGCTGTAGCTGCATCCATGCTGGCTCAGGGTTCCAAGGCAAGGTTACATACCTCTCCACTAAGCCTGCAACTCTGGGGATGCTGTCCCAGGTGGCTGCAGGGATTGGCATTTGCACATGGGGAGGCACAGATGATCCTCTGCCACAGCCTGCTGGCTCAGCAATGCCACCATATTCGCGCTCCCCACACATATGGCAGCATTTTGGCCTATGGAGGGGCATTCTTCAGCAGTTTCTTTCACACATTGAGGGTGTAGTCCTGCCTTTGAGTACATGACTTGGCAGCTGGGCCTCCCTCCACCATGGAGCACCTGGTGGCCATAGGCTGTGGTCTTCTGGTTGCCATCTTCTAGTTGCTCTCACACTTAAGTTGGCCTACTTGGCAACTACTAGATCCCTTCTCCATAATGGCTCCTGTGTTGTACAACAGGAGGATGTGAGTGGGGCACGGTCTTTGAAGTTTTTAGGAGACATGTAAGGCCATTTTGTTTGTGAGGATTTTTTAGCTGTAGGAATTTCTTGGGGAATGGAGATTACTGTGGTTTTATTATATTTTTGTACGTTGGAACTTTAATCCACCCTTTATAAGGGAAAGGCAGGATGTAAATATTTTTACAAACAAATAAATATCTATGAATGTTCAGGAATAATCAGGTCTTCTAAATGCTTGGGAATAAACCACAAGGTAACATAAAAGGCAACTCCGGTGGTTTTCATGGCAAATGCCTTTGTTCTGGACCACTCTTGGCCCAAAATGTTACGTCTCAGTAGTGGTAGGTTCTTTTAAGACCAAAATGGGTGGGACTCTATTCTGCATCCTCCAGGATATCAGAGATGCTCACAAGAGCTGAGAAAGCAGACAAGGTTCAGCATTTGACAAATGGTATTTGCTATCATACTTCTTCTCTAACTGATCCTGTATTGGTCTAGAAGTTAAAATCAGTCTGGAAAAATAACACACAAACTCCAGAAGCCATCTTATGTTGAGTCACGTTATTGGTCTGTCAGGGTCCATATTGTTTACTAAAACCAGCAGTGACTCTCCAGGGTCTCAGGTGAAGGTCTTTCACATCACCTACCACCTGATCTTCAACTGCAAATGCTGGGGATTGAACCTGGGATCCTTGGTATGCAAAACAGACACTCTGCCACTGAGCTGTGATCCTCCCCCTTGCAGTTAAAGATGCAGACCTCCTGGAAAATATGTAACAAAACTCTTACAAAATGAGGTTTCTAGAAAGGCAAAAGAAAAATAAAACAGTTGTGTGATCCAGGTTTGCTTCCTAACTTTAGCCTGTAAACTCCTCCTGGGGGCGAGGGACCTATTTTTGTTCTGTGGATGGGGAGTTGCATGGGTGGCATTATGTAAATGTGTTAAGTCAATACCTTGACAGGGCAGGAAAGTGTCTAATAAATGCAAGTGAGCTTGCTGTATCAGCAGAAAAGCTATACAGCAGAAGAATGGGTGATAACTGATTAAAGGTTGACAGGATTACATGGGGAAAGTTTATTCCTCTTGAGTAATCCTCACTTATAAAGAGCATGTGAGGTAAATCAGGATACAGGCCTACATGAAAAAGAAGCTGGAGGCACAATTAAGAAGATGAAAGGGTGACACCCAAGAACAAAAATCAATGGCAGTGCTGAAACCAGTGCTGATAAAAAGTATGAAGTATTCTTACAGGCCTTTTCAATTATGTTGTCCAGTCTGAAAAAGATAAACCAACAGCACAAAACCCTGCAGTCTGTGTCTTTAAACGCTGGTGTGTGATTATGATTACCCAGGAGAAGATCACTGAGAACAAAATTAGATCCACAGTCTGACAAAGGTTGTCCTGAATTTCTATAAAGTGGGGTTGGGAGTGAGATTGCAGTTTAAGGTGCAGCATGATTGGGGAAGAAGGAAGGGTGGGTTCTTTTCTTACCTTTTCTTCACCAGTTTTTTCCTGCCAAGCGTTAGCTTTCTGAGTGCAGCAAAAATGGTTGGGAAGAAGTACTTCAAGTGGAAGAAAGTGCCAGAAGTGGCACAGATCTAGCAGCCCCTTCCATCTGCCCCAAAAGCCCCTTAAATTCCTCACTGCCATCCTTTAACTAGGGTTTTTATTTTGACATTGGTGTCAAACTACAATCACATTTAGCTTGCCTGAAATGACTGAAATTGGGGTGGGGTGGGGTGTGTGTGTCAGTCCTGAAGTCTTCATTATACCTGATGGAGTGTAAATATGAGTAGTTGGTTTTAGAACTCTAAGGTTCACATTGGTCATAGGGAGTAACAGGCATGTCTGCATTTTCTTCCCTGCCTATCCCAAAAGATTTAACCAAAACATCCAAGAAGATAAGCAGGAAAGAGGCTGAAAAAAAGAAATCTCTGAAGGTGAGTGATCTCCAAATGCCAGCAAGGCCAACATAATTAAGGTCTTTGACAATGAATTATAGGACCTCTCCTTATATTTTAGGTTTCTGTCATTGATATTCATATCTATACTATCATTTGATATCTGGTTTATATCAGGATTCTAAAGGAACTTAGAGCTATAATTTTGTGAAAGTGCTGAGAATTTTTTTTAGAACATACCTACTCCCAGTAATTTGAGGTAATAAGAATCCAAACAAGCCTAAGGTGCTGCTGGTCAATGACGAACTGCTTGAGGAGTCAGGCTTTCCTGGAGGGTGTTCATGCTCCCTGAAGGAACAGGGTCATCGCTTGGGGGAACTGTTGGATCCTGGCCTACACTTGGAGGCCCAGATCGCCTCTGTGGCATGTAATGCCTTTTAGCAGCTTTGTCTGATATGCCACCTACAGTGGTTCCCTGATCTGGCCACAGTGATCCATGCTCTGAGTACATCCAAATTGGGGTACTGTGATGCGCTTTACAGGGGCTGCCTTTCAAAACAGTCCAGAAACTTCATCTCATCCAAAATGCAGCCGCCTGTTCTCTCTTGCCAGTTGTCCATCTCTTTTAGCATCTTGTTTTGCACAGCAGCCAACTAGTTGCCCCTGAAAGTCAACAAACAAGATATAAGAGGTCAAGTCCTTCCCCTGGTTGCCTCCTGGCACTTCAGAAATTTGCAGCCTCTGGATATGGAGGTTCCCCATCGTGAGTAGTAGCCATTGATGGATGTATCATTCTTGAATCTGTCTAATCTTCTTTTAGAGCCATCCATGCCTGTGGTTACCATTATATTGGTTGGTAGTGAATTCCACAATTTAATTACTCAAGTGTGTAAAGAAGTATTTCCTTTTGTCTGTCCTGAATCTATTCTACGTCATTAGGTGGCCCAATTTTGTAGTATTACAGGAAGCAGAGAAAAATCTCTCTCTATCCATTCTCTCCACCCCATGCATAAATGTATAAACCTCTACTGTGTTCCCCCTTTGCTCTCCTTTTTCCAAACTGAAAAATCCCAGACTCTTTAGCCTTTCCTTATATGGAAGGGACTCCATTCCAACCCACAATTAATCATGATTGCCCCCTTGGTTATTTTTACCAGTTCCTCAATACGACAACCAGAACTGTGCACACTGTTCCTAATGAGACCACATTAGAGCTCTCAATTATAATATTGGCCATTTATTCTCAGTACCTTTCCTAATAACCACAGCATGGAGTTTGCCACTTTTTTGCAAGAAAGAGCCACTGATCTGCTTCCCTCCTTTTTTGGAGTTGGTAGGTAGCAGGAAGCCTTTTCAACAGCAGCTGTTGAATGCCTTTTCCATAAATGCTCACCTAGCGTCATATTTGTTGACTTTCTAGCAGTAAGGGAACACCTATTTAGCCTCCCAGGCTTCTAGATGAGATTGTTTGGTTTGGTTTCCTTTCACCTGGCCCTGGAATATTTATTGGATTTTAATTCTGCCTGGTTTGTGGGGGTGGCAGGGGGATGGCGGGAGGTATAGTTTTATTGCTTGTTTTAATATTTTCTTTGCACATGGATTATAATTTTTGCTGCTGTTTTGTATCAGTGCATAAGTTATCATGACTGGTTTGCGATTGCTTTGTGATAACTGTGTTACCTGGTAACAAATGTTCTGGTTAAGGGACAGGAAGTATCATGATTTCCCCCAAGGGCTTCAGAAGGTCAAAGGACTCTTGGGAATGGAGAGGGATGTAATGCAATGGACTGCGGGGGGGGGGGGAATTTGCAGAAATCACCCCTCCCCCTATGCAAGTGCTTCCTCCTTTTACAAAAGAGGGGGGTGATGTTTGCCAATTTCTCTTCAACCTGTAGCTCACTGCACTGCACCCCTGTTTGTTCCTAGGAGTCCTCCATTTTTTAAATTTTATTTTTAACTTTTTATAGAAATAGAGAATAAAGAAAGGGCATAAGGGAAAAGAGAAGAAAATAAAATTACAAAAACACAATACAGAGGGCAATTTTTACAGATATTAAGGACAATCATTGATTTAAAAGTACACTAACAGTGCGTTCAGATGGGGCGTTTCAGCCGGCATAAACTATACCGCTTGGAACCATTGCAGTTTATGCCGGGTGAAACGCGATCACACTTACCTCCTGTCTGCGGAGCCCATCGCTGTATGCCCGTTCACACACAGTGGGCATCGGCGGTTTGTTGTTTTTTAAAAAAACTCAGTTTGTGCATGCGCATAGGCAGCCATCCACACAATGGCGATCTTCGCACATGCGCAAAACACCCCATCCAGAAAAGCATGCCCTGAAGAGAGGACTTACCTTTAAAGTTTAAAAAGCAAACTGGCCTCCCTGAGGTCCCGGATTCCTCTAAAACGTTAAAGAAGAAAATAAAATTACAAAAACACAATACAGAGGGCAATTTTTACAGATATTAAGGACATTGATTTAAAAGTATACTAACAGTGCGTTCAGACGGGGCGTTTCAGCCGGCATAAACTGTACCGCTTGGAACGGTTGCAGTTTATGCCGGGTGAAACGCGATCACACTCACCTCCAGCACATCGCAATATGCCCGTCCACACCTCAGGCACTCAGGAGGGCACATCGGCATTTTTTGTTTTATTTTTACAGAGTTTGCACATCCGCATAGGCAGGCTTCCTTCTAATGAAGCCGCTGGGCTGCCGCTGGGCTCTTGGGGCTCGTGCGCTGTTGTTTTATTGGTTTTTTGACAGCAAATGGAGCCGGGAAGGAGGGAGGGGGGTGAAGAGCACGGGCAAATGAGCCCGGCAGGGAGCCTGGACAGGCAGTCTCCCGGGGAGGAGCTGCCGGCTCCTGCAGGGGAGGCAGCGGAGATCCTTGCACTTGCGTCGCCCCCTCCCACCTCTCCTCCCTCTTTTTTTTTTTGGAAGCCTCGGGCTTCCAAACGTAAGTGGCTCTACAACAGTGGAGAGCGATCAGACGGGGGGGGGGGTAAAACAATTAAAACCGTTGCACTCAGGATACCACCACTTGGGGACCTAGTGGCAGAATACAACGGTTTAAAGCTCTTTGCAACGGTTAGGGACAGAAGGCAGATGTTCACCATGTAAACGCCGGTAAGTACACCGATTCCAACCGGCACCTATACCGTTGTAAATGCCCCATCTGAACGCACCCTAAAAGATGTATAACATGGTAGGTTAATACACCATGTTAACAACCTACTCAAAATCGTCTACTGTTTTCTCATAATGTGTTTCCATTTTTGTCCTATCTTATCAATTATAAAATAAAACACAGATAAATTCTCATTAACTTTCTATATAATTCTAACATAACAGTTTGTTGTAATAAAAACCATGCAAATGAGAATGTTCTTAATATTTCATATAAGAGTTGTCATTTATAAAATAAACCATTCAAATATATAACTACAAAGATTGATTATAGTAAGCATAAAAAGCTCACCAATTGTTCTCAAATTCATATTTCAGTCTCTGATTAATGTAATTTGTCAGTTTTTCCATAACTGTATATTCTTGCATTTTGTCTATCCAATCATCAAGAGCTGGACAACCCTCAATTTTCCATTTCCAACACTATAATTTTTATCTATCTTCTCAATGCCTTTTGAGGTAATATACCAGCAATAAAACATCTTACACCAATTTTCTCTGATTCACTGTGAACTTTGTATCTTTCATCCATAGGTTTTCCCATTGCTGAAATAGAATCTCCTTCCTAAAATACTGTGACCATTTCACCATGCATGTCTTAACTTGTTCTGTTTCTGTGTCATATTGTAATAAAAGTTTGTAAATATGTCCCAAAAGATGTTCAATATTATCTTTTCAAATTCAGCCAAGTTTCTTAGTCTCTCCTTCTACATCAATGAAAGTTGAAGATATGGTAGCCATTGTATCTTTTTTCCTTCTTCATTAATATCTTGCCAAGATTTAATTTTCCCTTGCTTATGATCATATCTTGATATGTTATAAAATCATTATTTTCTCTCTCGGGTTTGTTGTAATAAGCATCTAGTGGTGACCTTATAGGTGATATTGGGGGATATATTCTTATATTAAGTGACCACCAATTTTTCAATAAACTGTCTGATAAGGTGTCCATTACATCTCATTGGGGGTTTTTTAGTGCTTTTCCAGATTTTTAAATCCAAAGATGACTATGTAGACCTTCAGACAAATCTGCTGCTTCCAGTTTCATCACTCTTTCATTCAGGTTTTTGATGCAGTTAGAGATCCGATCCAAGCCAGTTGCTTGATAATACAACTTGATATTAGGAACCTCTTTTTTCCCCATCTTGTAAAACTTTAAATCTAACCCTTGGTTTCTTGCCATTTTATATAAATGTATTTATCTGCCAGTCTTTCAATATCTTGTCATGGATCTCAATTGGGAGCATCTGGAATAAAAAATTAATTTTTGGTAGCATGTTCATTTTTATTATGACAAATTTAACTTAGCCCATCTTTAAAAATCCTTTTGAATTTTCTTCCAAACTGCTTTGTAATTGAAGGATTGTTTCTTTTTCCCTAGACAGTTATTCCCAAATATTTTTTTTTTATAAAAGTGGCAGTGGCAACTACAAGCATGGACAGCTTCAAGAGGGAATTAGATAGACATATGGAGCAGAGGTCCATCAGTGGCTATTAGCCACTAGGTATAGATAGGAACTCTCAGTCTGGGACAAGTGATGCACTGTATTCTTGGTGCTTGGGGGGGGGCAACAGTGGGAGGGCTTCTAGTGTCCTGGCCCCACTGCTGGACCTCCTGATGGCATCTGGTATTTTTGGCCACTGTGTGACAGAGTGTTGGGCTGGATGGGCTGTTGGCCTGATCCAGCATTGGCTTCTCTTATGTTGTTATGTTATGTTCTTATGTTCATTTTGAGGATAAATAAGAATAGTGATAAGTGGCATCCTTGTCTCGTCCCCTTTCCTATCTGGAATCTGTCTGTTGATACCTAGGAGTCCCCTGTGACCCTCAGGAACAGTTGGGGGAATGCAGGAGGAAGGAAGGAGAAGGAACAATCCATTCTGTAAGCTCTTTCAAGTTACTGTTTGTAGTGTCCAACCCTACATGTTTATAGCAGAACAAATAGAAAACTATTTTTGCCTCAGGAGAACTACCCACAGAAAAAAGTAATGTACCTGGCCATATCTCATGTAAAACATTTAATGGGTCAAGAGGTCTAAACCACCATCTTACCTTTCAAAAATGCTGAAGTACACACTTCTGGGATTTCCTAGTCTGACAAAGCAAGTAGGTAAAGATAACTACCATCATGGCAGCAACAGAGGAAATCTGAGTATGCTAATGCAGGACCAGGATTACTATTGGGCTTATTAACCTTTCTTCTCTTTTTGTCTTCCTCAGAAAAAGTCCCAACAGAAAAAGCATCCCCGGCCGAGACCATCACCCCCTCCTAACTGTGTGGCTACCTGGGCAAGTTGCAAACCTCCCTCTCAGCCATGCTGTGACTTCTGTGCCTTCTGCCATTGTCGGCTATTTCAGACAGTCTGCTACTGCCGAGTGGGAAACCCGAACTGTTAAACTAAAACCAGGAATGCCATTGGGACTCTGACTCTCATTAGACCCATTGGTGCATCTTCTAACCCTATTGGTCTCATGCATATTGCAAAAGACGCTAAGCCTTTGAAGCTGACTGGCTTTGGCTCCTTCCACAGCCAAATGAATTATGGGATATATTATATAGGGTTAATGCTGTCATAAACAAGGCCATTCACAGCTATACGAAGTTTGACAAGGAGTGGGAAGGAGGGAGCTAGAGGCTGACAGCCAAAAGAGTATTTACAAGAGAGGTGAAGGTTGCATATGGCAAAGGAATTATGCCTCCCTCCCTTCAGAAAGACATTTTACCACATGTTACAGATTTGAACAAGAAGGTGGACACATGGGCCACTACATAGCTCCAAACAGGCACATTCCTGAAGAGTGGCCATGTTGGTCCATAGCAGTAAAAAGGTAAACAGTTATATGGACAGAAGCAGACAATGCATGGATGCTCTAGCCAGAGTAGAGGCTAAAGCCTATTGCAATTAGCAACCCAGTGGTCCCAGAAATTAACAGTTTCCTGGCTCTGATAATCATGACCATCATACTTCCCTTGGTACAGTGGATGTGTGTGCCGAAAATAACTATTGGACAGTGCCACAGCTTTCAGTGTTCCCTCTGAGTCAGTGTGAGGTAGCTCACAGTTTTTTAGCCTCCAGCTCACACATTTTTGTCTTAGCTCAGGAAGGATGGCTCCAGAGCAAACTATTTTGTATGCTGTAGCCAGATCGCTCACTCACAACTTTAATGCCAGTCGCTCACAAAGAAGAATTTTTTCTCACAAGACTCCACAGCTTAGAGGGAGCATTCACTGTTCTGAATAACATGCTCCTTGAAAGGTATATTGTTTCCTTATTTTAGCTTTTCTGAATTACATGCTCCTTGAAAGGTATATTTTTTTCCCTTATTTTAGCTTTTTAATGAAAGGCTGTGCGCTTACTTTCTGCAGTGGGATATATGCACTCCTTGATTACTTAAGTAAAAGAGAGAGCTATCCATCCATCTCCATCTTTCTGTAGTATGAAAAGTTGGCCAAATGCACCTAGTGGCCAGTTCTGAAAAAAGCTGTGCAGGGGGGCAGAGTGTTGCCACTTGGTCAGTGCAAGACAGGACCTTTTGCTTAATGTAACATGCTTTAGTCCAGTTTTATAGTGCCTGTGGTCTACCAGGAATCCATGTAACTTTGTCCTCTTAAAGTATATCAGTCAATATGTAATTATAAGTTCCCTTCTCAGCTATCATTATCATTACATGTCAGTTTCTCTCCAGAGCAATTAGGAACTCCACAGGATCATTTTAGAACACCAAAACTGGGAAGGTTGGAGCCAAAAAAAAAACCAGGCATCTGGGAGGCACAAAACTCCCATGGCATGTCTGATACAGTGCCCTAACAAATGCAGACACTTGCAGACTTTGTATCACGCAATACAGATCTCAGTTCTCAGGCACATAGGAGGCCAATTCAAATGGGGACCATGGCATATGGGGAGTGCTTAAGCCTTCTCCTCCACACCATTTCCTAAACGTAATAGGGGCTCCACAGAGCCATATCAGGTCAGGGAAATGCCATCAGGGCCCTCTCCCCACGGACCATCGTCGTGCTCTAAATAGATCCCCTATGCACCTGAGAAAGACATTTCAAAAATTGCCTGGCATCCCAAACATGGAACTCCCAACACACGTATAGTTTGACGGGAGATGGTGTGGATCTAGAAACAATATAATGTGTAGTCAGACCCCATATATACAATGTCAGGGTGCTGATCCCGTAAGGAGGCCGTTTTATCAGCTCCTCCCATGTAATTCAGCCTCAGCCTCATGGAAGCACACCAATGATTCAGGTTAAACCCTGACAGAAACCCTAATAATTACACAGGCATCCCTTGGGAGAGTGGTCATCACACTTGGGGGGGGGGGATTTCTGAAAATGGGCCTGAAAGTTTTTGTGTTTTGCTTTTGATTTCTTTTTCTCTCCAAGGGCAGTGCTGAAGATGAAGGCCAGATGTTACCAAGGGAATGAACAGCAGATCTGTCAGTCCATCCTTGTGTGATGTTAGAAGAGAGACAGAGCCCAGAAGAAAGTTTTAAGCATTGACAGACAAAACCCAAAGCACATTCCACCCTCTCAACATTGACTGTCATAAATCTTACAAGGTTGGATTCTATTAAAATGCTCTCAACTGTTATTTTTTATCAGGCCTACAGAGTGGAGAATCTGTAAATAATTTACTTAGGAAGAAAGAAACAAAGAGATGAGGGGGAGGTTAATATGATAAAGAAGACCACATTCAGCCAATGCCACACGGTTCCCCCAGTAGTTAGGATTTTTACATTTGCAATAGCACATTCCAATTATAGAATTTAGATTTTTGATTTTTAATGCAGAATGTTCTGTAGTCCTTCAGGTATGTGTGAACAACAGAAACTAACCACTCTGGCCCCAGTCCAGTGAGCCTGCTCATGCACATATGTGGAGGGACTTCTGTGTAATTTTGACAAGCAACAGGAATGTGACACACCATTACAATCTGCTTTTTAAATTTGTAGGAACTTAAAATAGCAAGGAACCTTGCAGCATGGACCATTCAACAAGCTAAACAAAAGCCCAGCTGAGAGAGCTTTTTCTGCTTGTACTTTTCTGAAGAGGATAGGGATTCTGGGATGGATCCAAACTAAATGTTCCAATAATGGACGTACACTTTTGTCAGTGGAATAGAACTCTCCTGCCTCCCCTGTTCCCACTGCAACCCATTGATCTCCCCAAAATGCTATTTCTGAGACCCACAGGAATAACATGAAAGGAAAATCAGGGGTTTGCAGCAAGAAGGGGAAACTGGCAGAAATTATACATTCCTCTTCCATTAGTGGAAAACGTAGTCTGGTTTCCAGCCCAATAATATTATCATGCTATACTGAGAAAGCAAAAGGGGGAAGGGGAACAATGAGTTAGAGCTGTATAAACTATGGACACGATCCAGTCACTGTTAAGCACTTGTGGCTGCAACCACTAAGCATGCTTATGAGGAAGCAAAGATTGAATGGATACTACGGTATTTACTTCCTACAGGCCATAGGCTTGAGATCACTTGAGGAAAAACCTACTCATTTCAATGGGGCGTTTTTTTAGAATGTGGTTAATTCTCCCATTGAAGCCAGTGAGATTAAAATGTGCCTCTAATCAGTTTATCACCCTACGGCCAGAGAGACACCACTTCATTTGACAATACAAATGGAAATGTACAAACCTCAACAGAGGAATCTGTAATTCTGACATGTATCCTACCCTTACTCCACATAAGGAACCTTTCCTCAATTCAAGTGGTTCTTCTTCTAGTAGAACAGCCCCTGAAGTTGGAATAAAACTCCTTAGATGGCAGAAAGTCACTCTCTGTTGAGCAGAATGTTACGATATATGTGTTCATCAGAGGACAGAACTACAAAGAGAAAACATGAGATTCCCATCTTCATGTTTTCTTTATAAGGCAAATGCAAGGGGACACTTGCAGGACCAAACTGATTAGTGGAAAAAGATGCTCAAGGCTGGTTCAGAATAGTTTGTCACCCCAAGCAAAGTCCAGGAGGCAATACCCATTGTCTGTTGTGCTGCTGATGGCCAGGTGTAAACAAAACTGCAGCAATGCATTGTTTACCCTCCTCTTATTACTTCACAAGCAAGTGCTTAGGTTGCCTGTCAGAAGGTGCTCAAACTTTCTACCCAGCCAGTGATTCTCCTTTGCCAATGCCCTCCTTGTTAATCTGTAATTGTTTTAATTCCCCAACCAGGCTCCAAAATTGAAAATAAGCTCAAGTGAGATCAAAACGGACAGAGGAGCTTTGGTAAAGTGGTAAATATATGAAGGTTAAAGGTAAAGGTTCCCTTGCTCGAAAGCCAGTCGAATCCGACTCTAGGGTTGCGGTGCTCATCTCCGTTTCAAAGCTGAAGAGCCAGCGCTGTCCGAAGATGTTTCCGTGGTCATGTGGCCGGCATGACTAAACACCAAGGCGCACGGAACGCTGTTACCTTCCCACCGAAGTGGTACCTATTTATCTACTTGCAATTTCTTGCTTTCGAACTGCTAGGTTGGCAGGAGCTGGAACTAGAGACAGGAGCTCACCCCGTCTTGCGGCACCCGGGTCTTGAACTGCTGAACTACCGACCTTCCACAGCCTGCAGTTCAGCGTCTTCTCTTCTACAAGTGGCCCTCTCACTCCCACACTTATGTCACCTCAACAGGCACAGGATCCTGCTTGCCAATTTAACATGTAGCTCCACTCTTCCTGTTCTTCTGAAATGAACTGGCCAATATTTTATAACATCATGATAGCCTTGTTATCCAACCCCAGTTATACCTGAAGCATAGCAAAATGGTGTTTTTTTTTTAAAAGAGGGTATAGCAGAAATCAAAGCTTACGTCCTCTGCACTCCAGGGAATAAACCCCCATGGAGTCAGTGGTGCTGACTCCCCATTAAACATGAACGGGATTAGGCTCTGTGTGCTCTTTCGGCTATGAGAAGTCTGTGACAGGATCATCCATCATCCTAATCGTCTAATTTTAAACATGGTGGCCCTAATCCAATAGTCTCAGTGGGTACCTAGCCACAGATTAACTGCTGGTGTCAGATATTCCTTTGCGCATCATAAAATGCAGCATCAGAAATGCTGATGTAGATGCCCACCTGCAAAGTTAATGTGTACAGAAAGATACTGATGAATGTGCATCTTTCTTGTATTCACCTTGAGATGATTTCCTTGGTAGTAAATGTGTTTGGCATCAGCTAGTGTTATAAACCAGAAATGAATATGCAACCACAAATGCAGGAAAACCTCTCTTTTTGAGTGTGTGTGCACGTGTGAGAGAGCGCACAAGTGCATATACGGGTATATGGATACACAGGGTTTACTATGGGTTGGACCCAATGATCCCACAATCAGAGAAAAATGCTCTCCCCACCAGTGGAACTGTCCTTCCTCTGGAAGATAATGACCGTTGGATCCAAACCATTGGACCTTAATATAGAAAAGCATGTAGTGAATGCATTATGAGAGTTTTAAGTCAATAATTCAGGACCTTCTTTGTTATACAATTAGAATTACTCAGGAAATATTGTGCTTTCCCCCAATTATTTTATAATGATTTGCTGTTAACTGCTACTATTTTTACAGTTGTGTGGAGACAATAGCATGCAAGATGCTATCTCATTAGGAAACCTGTTAGTATACTGTCTATTACCATGAATTATATCAGAAATTAACAGCACAAAGATATTACATAACCAGCACTGTGAAGCCACCATATGCCTTAATGAATTTTTCAGCGATGGCTTACATTGCATGATAATTTATGATGTATGGAAATCAATAAAGTATTTATCCAGAAATGTTGCCTTGTGTTTAAAATGTTCCTCTTGAATGAGGGAGTTTAACCTTCATTAAGATGGAAAATTTACTATTCAGCATACAAAATTAATACAGAACATTTGAAGGTAGATTGTAGAATGGAAAGATTATGGCTTGGGTCCAGTGAGTGAGTTCCGTGCACTAGGTACCTTCTGTATGTCCTCTTGCACTAGCACTTCCTTTTGCACAAGGCTCATTAAAAACGACTGTGCG